TATTATTATTATTATTATTATTATTATTATTATTATTATTATTATTAATATATATTTAATTCATTTATTTACTTATATATATCCATATGTATATATTCTTGTATACATGTTGATTATTGTATTCTCTCTCTTTTCTTCTCTCTTTCTTTTTTTGAAATTACGTATTTAAGGCTTAGGCCTTGGTCCAATAAGGTATCAACCCAAGAGCTACTTATCCAATCGATCAAATGAACGCCTGCACCGGGTTGAAAAAAAAAAAAAGGCCTCCAGCAGCTTTAACTCCCAGACAACAACCGGGAGGGGGAGGAGGTGCTGCTATTGCTTCACCCTGAGCGTGGCTGCGGATTGCCAATGGAGCTTAGGTTCCCTATTATTACAAAGCGAGAGGCTCTGAACGGGCTGGTAAGGCCTGAATGGAGAGCTAGGGAACCCTTGCAGCCAAGAAAGAGGCTGGAGAAATTACGATGGCTCCCGACTGCGAGGCTACGCGCAAGGCAGCGGCCGCCTACTCGTTTGAATGTCGGGGCCGCTCAGGGCAGAATCAGGCCCCTCTGGCGAACCTAGAGAGCCGAGGGGGGCCGCGAGGAAGAATTCGTCCCTTCCTGGGATGTTCGGCGTTCTGGTGGGGGGAAACCAGTGGCGCTTTGTAGTGCTTGAATTCGAGCCGCTAACGAGGGCGGCATTGAAGTCGGCAGGATAAAGCTCAAACGAGAGAATCTGGGGGGGGGGGTAGCGCCGGAGCGCTTCTAAGCCGCCTGCTATCTTTCTCCCCCTGGGGGCGATGAACACGCTCCCCTGAGTCTGTTGATTGCGCAGAGGCTAGGGAAAGGCATAGAAGGACAAACTTCCAACGATTTTGATCGGCCAAGGAGCTTCACAAAAACGACAGCCTAACCTTTACGAGGTAGAGCGTGAATTCCAAGCGGAGGCAGCGAAACTGGCCTCCAAGGCACACCAGCAATAATTTTTACTTTAATGATTCTGAGCAGGCCCGCGGGTCCTGCTGGTTAAGTACGGGCGCACGCAGCTGATCGGAAAGATAAGGAGGGGACAACCACAATGGCGCCCGGCCACGAGGCGGCACTCAAGGCAGCCACCTACGACGTGGACTTACAGGGCTTCTTAACAGCGGCCAGAATCTCCCCAGGGGCAATCCAAGGACCCCAGGGGGAGGACAAGAAGGAAGAGACAAACTTCCGACCAACAAAAGAAACGGCGTTCGGTGGAACGGAGCGGCTCGTTTAAATATGATGAAATTGGTACTGATTATACATGTTGCCCTGAATTTCTTTTACTTTCCTAACACTCTGGTTAGTCAGAACCTCTGAACGTTTAACCCAATAAAATCTGTTAGGCAGAGGGCAATAAAGGGGGGATGAGGGGTAGCTGGGAGTTAGCTAGCTTTCCCCCGGGCACCCCCTGGGGCTAGGAAAGGCTTCCCAGGGGAATTGAGAGTCGAAAACCAATCGATGTAACGAGAAACCGCAGGGCTAAGTGGAGAATAAATCAATACAACCTGATAAGAAGAAGAAAAACCAGCCAAATTAGGGTTTCTTGAAACGGCCAAGAGAGCTGAAAAAAACACTGCCTACTTTGCACGAGGGCTGAGCATAAACTGGGGAACGCTGTAACGGAGCCACGTGATGGAAGGCGGAGCGTTCCTCAGTAATTAAGCTCAGCCTACAACGATGCAGACTGAAGCACCTCCCCACTCTCTGGATGATCCGAGCAGCTCTAAGGAGAACTGCTAAGTAACTAATTGTAAACATTACATCTGAATTACATAAAACCTGAAGAAGAATATTGTTTGAAGTAGCATTCTCACAGAAATTACAGCAAGAATTGGTTTACTCTTCTTATCGTCAACATTTTGATATTGTGGCATATGAAAACCATTAAAAGGGGAAATCATAATATCGATGAAGACAAACAGGAGGATTGTTGGTTTTATAACAGATTCAGCATGCTACCGACTTTCAGAAATATGCAACAGTGGGATTCTTAATGCTCTCTGAGTTTGATTGTTTTCTTACAGACCTTTTATCACTATCAGTGTTATGTAACAAAAATCATGTTACCTAATTAATACAAACCTTTCCAAGACAAATGAAAAGGTACCAATATCTCATTATAGAAAAAGGTACCAATATCTCATTATAGAAACCACACAGTAGCTTAGCATTTGGCAATCCTTTTATATTTATTAATGAGAAAAATAGTAATATTGTACCTTCCAAAAAAGTTGATCTATAGTCTACAGATTCACTTGACACTAATTCAGTTGTAGGACTTATACTCCTTGCACTCACAAGCCTGTCCAAATGTGGAGTGTGTACTCGTCCATCATAGCGAACAATCTCTCCATCTAAATCTTGTCACAGAAGAAAGAATGTCAATATTATAAAAACCTGATGTTTCCAATTATTATAATTCTTAATGGAATTATAATTGTTGTTTCTGTTATTATTATTATGCATCGCACAGTGAGCCAGTTGTTCAGACTGGGTTTGGCACTTTTGTTTATTTATCAAGTCCTTACCAAGGATTTGGGATAAGCAAATCTGGATGTTTGATAGTGTCACAGATACTGTTGCAGGATGGAAGCTGTTCCACAAAAAGCTGCCTTCTGCAGTTGACTGATGGCAAATGTGTCATTATTATTGTTGTTGTTATTTTATTGTTGCTGTTATTGTTTGTTAACATCTTTCTAATAAAAATATGTTTGATTAGGGCAAGGTTTATCTTAATCCAGCATTTTGTTAGTAACAATGGTCAAGTAGATGCCTCTGGATTGCTTGCAGGCAGAAGGCAACCTACAGAAAACAAGAGTTTTCAAGACCTAGCGCATGAGTGTCAAACTTGCTGCACCACATTGCCATCATGTGACATTTTGTGACATTTCCCCCATTCCTGGAATTGGGGTGGGCATGGCCTGCGTGTGATGCATCCGGCCTGCGGGCTGCCAGTTTGACACCCCGGCCTACAGTCTGATAGATCTTCCTCCAAGAATTTATAGTTATTTAGGTTAATGAGCATTGCATTATGTAGCAATGAATTCCACAGATGGATTATTTATACACACTGACACCTTGTATGACTTGTATGACTCATACATTATATGAACAAATGCTCCCTCTTGTTTTAAACTGCCTAACAATCAACTTCGTTAGATGCTTCTTTTTTGTAATGGTTGATTTGGAGGGGGGCAGGGAACCATCTCTAGTACGGTACTACAAGTGACTTGCCGTGTCATTCATGATTGTATGGACCAACCATTTCTTCCCTCTATAACCTTTTTTTCCAAGATAAAAAGTTCCTAAAGGGTTAGGGGTTTGATCTATCTAGTTATTTGAATTGCCCTTTTCTACCCTTTTTCCTTCATCCTCTGCTTATTGTACTAAAAGGGAATTGCTTCTACTATTTATTTGACCATTAAGTTAGTTTGAAGAATTCCTACTGGATCAGCTCACTTTTGGTTTTTACCATTTTATTTTTTTTATTATCTGCAACCATGGCCAAGAAACTGTTTATATGGTCTGAACACAAATCCTTCAGCAACTGTATTTCTTTCTACCCTCCATTCAGAATAGTGCTCATTTATTCCTACTTTTCATTTTCATTTTGTTTTTTTTAACCAATTAATAATCTATAAAAGCATGAGTCAGGTTATCAGAAGGTGACTAGGTTTATTACAGAGCTTTTGATGAGGAATTTTGTTAAAGTCTTTTATTGATCCAAGAATAGAGCACTGACACCACCATCTACATGCCTGTCTGTATCAGCTGTTTTAATTCCCTCCCTGAGAAAGTCAGTATAGTTCTCAGGTCATCTGTCCTGTATCTTTTGTAGGGAAGACATTTTTTCTGCAAATCTTTCCGTTGTTAGGAAAGAGTTTTCATTTGCTAAAGAGAGCCTGATTATTTATAGTTTCTTCAACACTATTAGAAAATGAGGACTTGGTTAACCCTCATCGTACATCATGGAATATATTTTAGCTGAGCGAGAATTACTGCAGTTTTAAATAAACTCCAGGAAATAAAAAAGAGATTTTATTGAAATACAGTAAAAAGTATTAATGATAATCACCTTTGATTTGCTTTCTCTTTTTTCTCCAAAAGAGAAATCCAAATGCTAGCAGCAAGAGAAAAACTGTTGTTGCCACAAGGCCTGCAATGAGTCCTGTGAAATTTGAGTCTGGTTGAATCATTACTTTCCCAATAACTGTTGATGAAATTTCTTTTTTCCACTGAAAGAAAGATAAGATTTAAAAACTCTAAAATATACTAAAACATATGTAGCAACAATGACCAAAAAAACAGCACAATTTAATCGTGGAAGTTGATATATAGGGCAGGCTTCACCAATAACAACACACTTTATCACACACACTACACATTCTACTTGCTCTTTATTTCTGCTATCAGTAGCTCTTATTCTCTTATTCTGACTCAGGAAAAATGTCCAATTTGTAAGGAAGCAAAAATGATGATGGAGATGAGAAAGAGTATTTGTATCTGCCTTGGTCTGCTGGCTCAATGATTCCCTGCTTAGAAAAGACTAATGCAGCATGTAATAAGTTTATTGAGTAATGGGGCTTATTTCAAGAAGTTGTGTTCAATTCTGGAGATAAGAAAAAATTGTCTAAATATTTATTCAGTTATCTGTGTATCTTTTCATATTGATTTATTTGCTTTATAGGTAGCTCACCAAATTAACAATGTGATCATTTCTGTAAGAAGTCACTAATTTTAAACTATGCTATGCTTTATGCTTCACAATAGCTTGTAACATTCCTTATGATTACAATAGTAGACATCTTTTGGTATCCTCCATTTGTTCTGTTGTTGGTAAAAATATGCTATCAGAGTTATACAGTAATTACTGAAATTCAGTTAATTGTTATCAAGCTGGATTCAGTTCCTGCCAACTATATGAAGAAATATTTTCCATTCTGAATTATTTTTACTAGTAACTTGTAACTCTTCCAAAGACATTCCAATAATATCTTTGATGTCAGCAATCTACCTGAGCCATTATCTTCTTTTTTTTTTTACTTCTCTAAACCTTGCCAAACACTTTCCACCATCTGCCTGCATTCATATATATAGTCCAAGGTGTTCGTGCTGTCTCCACAGCCACAATTCAAAGGCATCTATCTTCTTGTGGCTCATGCTTTCTCAATGCCAGTCTTTATGGACATTTTTTAATCACAAAAAGCCATTGCTTTGAACTACTCTGGGCTTTGTTAGAGGTGTGTAGTATTAGTATCTGAAGTGGGAAAGATGCTTCCTATCTAAAGTATGTGCTTGTGGTTGTATCCTCTTGTAGGCAGAACTTTACAGAAAATACATAGCCCTAGAAATTAATTAAGTGGGCAGTAACATGGCATAACCAAATCATCTTATAAACAGAGGTTCCTCCACAATGTTGCCATTCTGATCATTCAAGAACAATACTATACCGTTTCTAGTATTGCATTTAATGTTTCTTGCAATTTTTCAATAGAATTCATTCTATCATTGGTCCTGAGAAACTGATAAAAAGAAAATATCTATCCACTTTAGACAAGTTCAAACTGCCAGATCCGATGGTTTACGTCCCAGGATACTGAAAATGCTGGCTGATGTGATTTTGGAACCACTGAACAATATATTTCAGAGCTCCTTGGAGCAGGGGGGAACTGCCAGAGAATTAGAAAAGAACTGATGTCACTCCAATATTCGGGAAGGGGGAAAAGTAGATCCAGGAAACTATGACTAATCAGTCTGACATCATTACCTGGGAAAATCTTGGAAAAAGATAATCAAGCAGGAGATTTGTGAGCACTTAGAAATGAATACAGCAATCACTAGAAGTCAGCACGGGTTTGTTAAAAACATGTCAGACAAACCTTACAACCTTCTTTAATAAAGTGACTAAATTAGTGGGTCAAGGAAATGCTGTGGATATACTTCACTTGTACTTCAGTAAGGCATTTGACAAGGTTACTTGTCAAGTAACTTGTTACAAGTAACAAGTTATTTGTCAACAGGCTACTTTTGTACTTTTTTGTAAGACAGAACAGTGCGGGATAGACAGTACCATCACCAGATGGATTCACAGTTGATGGACCAACCGTACTCAGCACATAGTCTTAATGGAACTATATCTACATAAAGGAATAATGCCATGTGGTATCTCAAGATTCTGTCTTGGGCCCAATGCTCTTCAACATCTTCATAAATGATCTAGATGAGGTGATAGAAGGGGAACTTATCAACTTTGCAGACTACACCAAACTGAGTAGAATTACAAACAGTTTGGAAAATGGACGCAAGATTTAGAAGGATCTCGACAGACTTCAGCACTGGGCCGTATCCAACAAGATGCTATTCAGTGGAGAGAAAAATAAGGTCCCGAACCTAGGCAGGAAAAAAACATACAGGTACAGAATAGCTCAATAGTAGTAACTGTGAGAGGGATCACTACTTAAGTAGAATAGAATTGAAATCTTTATTGGCCAAGTGTGATTGGACACACATGGAATTTGTCTTGGTGCATGTGGTCTCAGTGTACATAAAAAGATAAGATACATTCATCAAGAGTCAAGAATCATCAGTATGAGCCAGCAGTGTACTGCAAGCTGCCAAAAAAGCCAGTGTAGTCCTAGACTGCATCAATAGAGGAATAGCATCAAAAACACAAGAATGATAGTACCCTTCTACACTGAACTAGTGAAGCCATACTTGGAACTACGTGACCGTCTGGTTACCATGATACAACTCCCCCCCACAAAAAAACCCACTGAGATCCTAGAAAGGGTATAGAGAAGACCAACAAGAGATCTAGAGGCTAAATTGCATGATGAATGGTTAAGGAACTAGATATACCTAGCCTAACGAAGAGAAGTACTAGGGGTAACGTGAGAACTGTCTTCCAGGGTTTTTGGCTGCCAAGTATAAGAGGGTTGACTTATTCTCCAAAGCACCTGAGGGTAAGACAAGACGTAATGTGTGGAAAAGAGATCCAAGCTAGAACTAAGAAGAAATTTCCTGAAAGTTAGAATAATTAATCAATTAATCAATGGAACAGCTTGCCCCCCAGAGTTAGGGATGCTCCATCACTGTAGGTCTTCAAGAAAAGACTCGACAGCCATTTGTTCAGGATGCAATAATTGGGCAGGAGGTTGGACTACAAGACCTCTAAGGTCCCTTTCAGACCTATAATTCTGTGATTGCTAATATGTGCACACCTTTGTACTGATTCTTCCTGGATATCCACTATTTTTATCAATTAAGACCCTATTGTTTACTAGGTTATAGTCAAGCTCATATAGTACTTAGCAGTATATTTTCTGAATATTATTCCCACTCTATTAGATTGTACAGGCATGCCATGGATAATTTATAATAATATGAAATTAATTGTTCCATTCCAAGTCATCTTTGTTCACTTATTTCTAAGATATTCAGTTTGGCATGCTTCATGTTCATGTTGATCGATATATTTAATAGTTCAAATACACATGCACACACATATTGTAAATCACCTCTTTCACAATATTGGCAATGTAAATGTAACTATCATATGTACACATGGAGGGTGGCTTAGTGACAAAAGCTAATCTTTCATCAAGAAAATATTTGGAGAATTAAACTGTATGACATATTGTATTTCTACCTTTCTTTTTGAAATACGCATAGACAGAAAAAGAATTATGCAAATAATAAGGATTATTAAAAGCCAAAGCTCAAACTTTATCCTCAATTTAAAATGCCAAGTTATGGTTACAAATTTGATTCAGAATAGCAGACAAATTTCCAATTCATATCTTTAGCTGAAATATTATGATGTCATATGGGGAAATATTTTCCTATAAGATTGCATTAATAGTGAAGTAGAATATTTATTAAAACACTCATCTGCTCAAAATACTAAAAAAAGAGAAAAAATCATAATTAATAATAACTATAATTACGTATTTGAAAAAGAAATGCAGAAATACAGTATGAACCAAATGATTGGTTCAAACCAGGTAAGAATGCAAAAACAAAGTACTTCCAAACAATTTTCAATGTTGCTGCTAGTCACTTAATCCATAAATCAAAGATAGAATGAACATACAAAACTAGAACTGCAGAGCAGTAGATAGTATTAGTAGAAATGGTGACATTTAAAGCTGAATCATATATGCAATATTAAGATAAATATCCTACCACTATATTTAATTCGTGGTTGGTTTCGAGAAGCTCCTTAGGAATGGTACAAGAAACGGACTGCAACTTCAAGATGATGTTCTCACAACTCTTGTTTCCAACTTTTAATACTTCGCCTTTCACCGCTTCAGAGTCAATGTTACTTCCCTAAAAAAAGTTACATTAATTAAATGTAATAAAGAGAAATAGTAAAACAAAAGGCAAAAGGAACACTGGATTATATTTATTCTTTCCATAGTTAAAAAAATGCCATAAGAAAAGCCACTTCTCAGTGGCCATTACAATAGATTAAACAGGATTACTTTGTCTGCAAAAGTTAGCAAATTATCAAGCACATTCCAAAACTCCACATTCCAAATAATTATAGAAAAACACTAAATTTACCTTCCTATAATTCCCCAATGATTATTCATTACTTAAATCAAAGAAGCTTAAGAATGTCTAAACAGATTAACAAATTGTTGCCTGTCACTGTGATTGAATGGAGTTCAATGGGAATAAAAACAAATTATTTACAGGCATACAGGCAGTCCTCGAGTTACCACAATTGAGGCCAAAATTTATGTTGCTAAGTGGTAAATTTTTTAAATGAGTTTTAGCTCATTTTATGACTTTTCTTGTCACATTTATTAAGTGAATCTGGCTTATCCCATTGACTTTGCTTGCCAGAAAGTCACAAAAGGTGATCACATGATCTTGGGCAACCGCAACAGTCATAAATATGAACCAGTTCTCAAGCATCCAAATGTAAATCACATGACCAGAGGGATGTTGCAGCAGTCGTAAGTGTGAAAAATGGTCATACGTCATTTTTTTCAGTGCTGTTGTAACTTCAAACAATCACTAAATGAACCTTTGTAATTCGGACTCCCTATACTAAGTCAGGAATGTCAAACTCAAATTTTATTGAGAGCCGCATCACCATTGTGGTTGCCCTCAAAAGGGCCAATTGCACGTAAGACTAGGATGACTCACAGAGACCAGCTGCATGTGGCTGGGTAGGCATGACTGGGTGGTAACACCGGCAACTAGGTCGCTACGACTAGGTGGGCATGGCTAGGTTGGGTTGGCTGGTTTGACACTGCACACTGGGCGCGGCTGATTCGAGATGTCTGGGTTGGGACCGAAAAAGTTGCTAACCCGACATGGGGACAGTTTGGTGCCCCACAAGCTCACCTTCCCAAACTGATGGCAGCCAAGTGTGTGTGCGCATGTGTGCATGCGCGCGCGTGCACACACACATACACACACCACATTCAAAGGGGACTTTGGGACTTTTATCCACAGAGGAAGGAGAGGGCCTTCTCCCCAAAGCCAGGCATGATTGGCAATTTGCAAGCTCAGATATAGATAAAACTCTCCAAACTTGGAATGGTGTGTGTGTGTGTGTGTGCATGTGCACAGCACACCGAAGGAGATATTCTTCTCCCAATCCCAGACAACATTGGTGTTTCCCTGTCTGGTGCCCCCTCCCAGCAAAGCAGGAGGTGGAGGAGGAAGCTGCTGCATGTGGAAGCGCAGAGGAGAAAGTTTGCAGGAAGCAGTTTCCTTCTGCCTTAACAGATCTCTGGAGAGCAAGAGGAGGAGGCAGGGGATCAGTGCACCCAGTGCACGAGGGATGCTGGCCCTTCTTGAAACCCTATACCAGAGGATAGAACAGGATGGCTACAACACAATTTACACTTCTCCCATTACTTTCCTTACTCTCATTTATCTTGGTTCAAGAGTTATTATCCTTTGAGATGAGGTTGACTCTTGATGACTATAAGGACCAATCCATTTAGTGTTCTCACCATTATTGTAAATGTGATTTGCCACTTATCACTTCTGGGATTTTGTTTTCAATTCCTAGTCCTTAGATTTCTACTGGTTTTCTATCCAAGTGCTAATAAGGGTGGGATCTGCAAATATTGGCTGCAGTAAATAGCCATTTATTTCAATTTCAGTCACAGAATAAATCTGGACAAATATTTAATTTTTGGTAATTGTCTGTTTGGGAGTTACAGTTATTTTGTAAGTCTCTGGAAATCTTATGCATGTATAAGCATGTTTTGGGGAACTACACATAGGATACATATAGATTTGCTGAATGATAACATCTACAATTGCATTTTGGGGGGGAAATTTCTGGAGGTAACACATTTGTTTGTGAATAAGGACACCAGGATCCCGGATAAACGTAGAGGTCATTTTTGACTTAGAACCATTTGTTTAGTGACTGATTTACTATAGTACTGAAAAAAGTGACTTACGACCTGTCCTCACACTTAGAACTGTTGCAGCATCTGCATGGTACAGTAATCAAAATTCGAGAACTTGGCTATCAGACTCGACTCCATTTGAGATGAAAAGGCACTTTTACTAAGCGACGCTGATTTCAGGAAAGTCATGCACAATCTAAAATTCCTGCGCGCTAATACAGAACTAAACTCCTGATTTCTCCTAGCCTTCCCCTGTGGTCCGTCCGTTTAGTCTGGTGAAATACCACACCCAGGGCAAATAGCTTGGAAGAGGCCAGTGCCCCAGTACAAACCAGATTCCAAAATGCTCTGTCTTCTTTACCTGTCAAATTCCCCCTCCCAATTTTCCCCAGCTTTATTGCCTATTTGTCCCCTGCTCCCTTCCCCAATCGACAGAATGCCGGCAAGGTGCCAAGCTGAAGCTGGTGGATCTGACAAGCTGCCCCCAATCTTTGAAGGGCTATTACAAAGGAACTTCAATTTGCTACATGTTTCGGGGCCAATGTTATCGGTGCATTCCATACTATCTTTACTAAAAAGCAAAAAAGGGTGTGATCTACAACTTCACATTTCCATTCCAAGTTAATGAAATAAAATCTAGAGGAAAAGTTATCTCTCAAAATCCAAAGAAATTAATGGCATAGGTAGAGGACAGAGGAGAGACTCAAGAATTGGCTTGTTGAGGTAATGGACTGGAATGATTCAGCTGTTTTTTCCATCTATATGAAACTTTAGAAAGCAACTCTGAAATATTTCTTATTTGACAAGCACAAGGAGGAGATGGTGCTGCTTCTCACTGAAATGTCTGTAACAAAACCTCTTTAATCAGGCTCTCAATTTCACCTACGAGTTTTAGTTGCTCCATGTTACATGTTTTCAGCAGATGCTTTTAAACCTCTTTTCAATTATTTTAACATTGACTGATATTTACAAGTAAGTTTTAAAGTATCTGAATAAATGTAACTATTGTAACATATGTAACTATTGAAGTAGTTTTTCTTGAACTCACTTTTAATTCGCATGTATTTATTTATTGGATGCAAAATGTACCCCATTAGTTACTGCAAATAAAAGCTTTTCTGTTCTGGCACTAATTTAAAAAAAAAAAAACAATTCAAAAACTCTTTTGGTAAGAACTTTTTCAACACTGAATTAAGTGATCACTTAATTTTATGCTGTGTTTGCTTAATGATGACATAACAAAGCATGATCACGAAGCGTGTAAATTTGAGTATTTATATTTGTTTGAAAATTCATTTCTGCCAATTGGCGCTCTGGAACATATGCTTTAAAATCAATGTACAGCCATATCTTACAATATGCCAACATTTTTGGAACAATGCCTTCCTAATTCTTATCCTAAACCCCACTTGTTCTTGAGATTTACTGATGACAGGATGACATTTCCATCATCTGGAGCCATAGAAAAGAATCTCTCATCAAATTTCATAAAATACTTGAACAACTTCCAGCCTACCTTTAACTTTCAACATAATCCACTGAGTGCATTTCTTTGATGTTATGTTAAATTACACAATGGACACAATCCTACATTATATAACAAACTCACAAATCATCAAGTATACCTACATATTTCTAGCAGAATGTATTAAGTCTTAAGAATATTAAGTCTATTGTGTATAAGTCAGATTCTGTGCTACAATTCCATTTGTTTTGACTCACTTGAGATGCTCAACTCAAAGAATTAAACCAGAAAACTTAACTTCCCATCAAATGAGATCAACAGACATATCAACGCAGCCAAATCAATTCCACGCAGAACCTATTAACAGAAAGGCCACAAAACCCAAACAACATAATATCACTAATGATCACTTTCAATCTACAGTTCAAGCCATTCAAACATATTCTTAATAAGCTATAATAAGCATATTCTTAATAAGCTATGACCTCACCCCTTTCCTAAGAGGTCTGTAGGGGGCGTGCATAAGCGCACCAACGTGCCTACCGTCCCTGTCCTATTGTTTCTCTTATTCTTCTTTTATTTTTCTTATATGTACCCATTTCATGTATTCACAACTATGTATACACTTATACTTATTATCTTGTAAACAATTGGCAAATCAAATAAATAAATAAAAATAAAATAAATAAATATAAACCACTGTACAAATATGCTGCAGTGTCTCAGGCACCAGGTACAAGCCCCACTATTTGCATATGGACAAATTACTCAGCCTGAACTAGTTCTCACAAGCAACTAGAAACAAAAGGAAGAGAATGCTAACAAGGAAGCCAGATCTTGCAATAAGCCCAGATGTTTAGATTTACAAAAACAACTGATTCACAGACTTCAGTAACTTCACACGCCAGATTAGGAGTCCCTTCACCTGCTCTTCCTCTCATGTGATATGTGCTATTGCTATCCAGGGGTGCCCCTCTGGGTTTGGCATTAGGTGGAAAGGAAGGACAAAGTAATCGCCAAGGATTTTAACCTCCCAGAACAACCCATTACAAATCTCAAAGTCTATTCCGGAGCAAAGAAACTTCAACAGCCCAAATGAGCAAGAGATTGCTGAAATCACATGCATCAAAGGATTTCAGGTAATCTTCATAAATGCATTTTTTAAGTGTTTAATGATAAGGTACATGGCACTTGCATATGTGTAACCTTCTTGTTATCCTCATTTTCCTCCACTCCATCCCAATTTAAATACTGCATTAAATTATTCATTCCAAATATTTGATGCAGTAAATTGTAGTTCAGAAAAATTTATAACTTTTGACACAATTTGTTAATCTGAAATGATGGTATTCTCCTGGATTTTTTTTTTTTAATATTATAGGAAGTTGCTCAGAGTTACTAACTTCACAACGATATCATGAACATTCTTAAGTATCAAAGCAAAAAAAAAATGATACTTTAAATTATTTTAAAAATAGGTTATTACCAACTGAAAGACCAACTGCATTTTTTGTACTAAAAGAAAGGGAAGTGATGTTTTCTTAATATATGAGTAGTATGACTGCAGGCCTGTGTATGGCTCTAACACCATTATCAAGTTTGCAGACGATATTACGGTAATCGGACTCATCAACGGGGGAGGAGGTACAGTGCCTAGCTACGTGGTGCGCTGACAATAACTTATTACTTAATACTAACAAGACCAAGAGCTCATTGTGGACTTCAGGAAAAAGAATGGTCGCACACACTCTCCTATATACATCAACGGGAGAATGGTAGAACGTGTTACCCGCTTCAAGTTCCTGGGGATCCACCTCTCTGAGGACTTGTCCTGGCAGATTAACACCACTAGTCTGAGTAAGAAAGCTCACAAGATCCTCTTCTTCCTGAGATTACTGAGGAAGAATCACCTCTCCTCAGCTATTCTGACTAATTTCTACCACGGCACAGTCGAGAGCATCTTAACTAGCTGTATCTCAGCTTGGTATGGAAATTGCACTATAAAAAGAAAAAAAGGCATTATAAAGGGTGGTGAAAACTGCCCAATGCATTATAGGGAATCCACTTCCTGCCTTTGCGGACATTCAGAGGAAACGATGTCTGCGTAAAGTCCACAGCATCGTTAAGGACCCCGTCCATCCAGCCCAAAAACTGTTTGCTCTTCTTCCATCTGGGAGGAGGTTCAGGTGCCTGCAGTCTAAGACCAGCAGGCTCAGGAACAGCTTTTTATCACATAGTGGTTTCCTTGCTGAACTCCTCAGTTTGTTTGTCCCCACACATATGCTGATGCTTCCCTTGATGATATATGATGTATTTGTGCATTTGTATTTATATTCAACATGTCCATAAACATTTTGTACAGTTGTATATGTTCATATATGTGCAGTCAACACTTATCATTGTCTGCTCATGTACATACATTTTGTTGTGTTTTCCATTGACATATTCATAGATTCCTTGCATATTTGCATACATATATTTATATTTTACTGTTGCTTTGCACTTCTGGTTGGATGCTAACTGCATTTTGTTGCCTGTATCCATGGCAATGACAATAAAGTTGAATCTAATCTAATCTATCATCTTTTATTTAGCTTGATACCTTCTGAGATTAAAAACTCTTCAGAAATATGTCATTTTCAAATCTGCTTAAAATCATTATCATAGTTTTTGTATAACATAGTATCTGTTCAGCTAGATAGGCCAAGAACTATTTTAATAATGTAATGACTACATAATGCCCAGGATAAACCCCGAGATAAAAGCATGTATGTTATATATCACCTTACCTTAATTATTACATTCTGACTTCCCTTGGAAATCAACAATGGTGTTTCAGAAATGGTAAAGTCAGGGTCATTCACATAATCAAAATTAAAACCAGATGAAGTGACACCATCAAAAACGAAAAACACTTTTGTCACAAAAGGCAGCATCAGCTCATAGGCTTTCAGCGAAGGAGTTGTACAACAGATTATTTCAGAGTCTGAACGGTGGTCACATGCCTGAAAGAAAAGCAAATAAAGTAGATATATCTGCTAATATTATTGTCTTAAAGATTTATATGAAAGACTGTGAGTTTTATCTTTTTGTTGTAATCACACTGAAGTTATATTTTCTTAAAGTGTATAAGCATTGAAAATTATATTGAATGCTGACAAGAGAAGCATAAGCAGGAAGATGTAAATTCTATGTTCCACTGATAAATGATGAGTTACATTATTAATCATTGTTCACTTATTTAAAATCCAAATCTACATATGTATAACTTCAATGCATATTGGTTTTCTATTTGCATGGATTTGGATTTCCCCATTTACCTCAATTGAATACAGGTCTACATTTAGAAATCTGAGATAATTTGTACCTACAAAAAATTATTTACACAGCTGTAAGACATTACTCAATTCAAAGTACAGAGAAAGTTTTATTTCCATTTAAAAAGCAAAGCCCTAGCAGAAATAGCCATATTTAAATGTAGAATAGTTTTATTTATTTAAAAAATGTAGATGCTGTCTTGAAAATTTTGCAGGAAAATTTCAACGAAGAGAGAGTATCAAATATTCAACACTGAAACATACTCTGAAGACATTGAGCATAATTCTGGACTGCCTTCTATCAAGAACGTTTTAGTTCCAGCACAATGATAGTTGCTCTCCAAATATTGCTGGTATACAACTCCCAATTACTCTAGATCAGTGGTTCCCAAACTTTTTCAGGCCACCGTCCCCTTGGTGCTACAAACTCATCCTCAGTGCTCCCCACCCAGGGGTGGGATTCAAATTTCTTAACAACTGGTTCTGTGGGCATGGCCTAATTTGTGGGCATGGTTTGGTGGTCATGTGACTGGCAAATAAAATATAAGTGGTCCTCGCTTAATGGACGGTTGCTTATTAAGTGTTCTAATTTATGACTGACCTCCCCAGAGCTTTGACAGCCATGCATTCTCTTTTTCTCTCCCTTTCTCTCTCTTTCTCTCTTTCTTTCTTTCTTTCTTTCTTTTTCTTTCTTTCTTTCTTTCTTTCTTTCTTTCTTTCTTCCTTCCTTCCTTCTTTCTTTCTGTTTTTCTTTTTCTTTCTTTCTTTTTCTTTCTCTTTCTTTCTTTCTGTCCCTTCCTTCCATCCTCCCTTCATTTATCCCCTTTCTTCCTTTCTCTCTCCCTTTTTCTTTCTTTGCTTTCTTGTCTGTTCCTTCTCTTTCCTTCTCTTTCTCTCTCTCTTTCTCTCATTCCCTCTCTTTCTTTCCCTCTCTCTCTATCCCTTCCTTAACCTATCTACCTATTTTCTGCTCAGGCAGGTGTAGCCTAATCTGTCAAAGGCCTGGGTTAATCCTGCATCACCCCGTTTCCCCTTTCAGAGGCCCTGGCCCTTAATCTCCCAGTTTCCTCCCCCACGACTGCCTCTTTCCTCGTCCCATGGCTGTGACTTTACCCTCCTCCCGTGGCTGGCTGCCATGGAAGGCAAGCCAGGGCTGAGCCATTGTTGTCGCTGGGCTTCCGGCCAGCCACGTCACCCTTGTCACAAATGCCTGCAGCCGCCGTGTGTTTTTTTGGGTGCGGCTGGAGTCCAGCATTCTAGACGCCAGTCCTGCAGGTCCACTCCATTGAGTCCGCTGCACCGGAGGGACTTGCCCAAGCAAGTCTGAGCGGAGTGTTGCAGCAGTCAATGGGGTGAGCCTGCATGGCCGGTACCTAGAACGCGGTGGTGGCAGAATGCTGGAGAAGTAGAGCAAAGCTGGAGGTTGGTAATTTTTGCTGCAAAAAACCTCCAGACGGCACATGGTTTTTTGGTGCAGCTGGACTCCAGCTGCACAAAAAAAAAAAAAAAACAACCACGGCGTCTGGATGCTTTTTGCAATGAAAGTTACCGACCTCCGGCTTTGCTTGCTCCGCTTCTCCAACACGCCGCTGTGGCCATCAATGCTTGCGCATGCGCGTGATGTCGCACATGCGCAATAAGGACTGACTGGGCAAGGAACAGAGGAGCGGGCGGAGAGGAGCAGGGTCAGCCAGGGGCCAGTTTTACTGGTTCTCCAAACTACGGGGAATGGTAATGAACCGGTAGAATCCCACCCCTGAATTGCACCCTGCGAGGGGCTCACCTCCAGTGCCCTCCTGCCACCTCTTAGTGCCCCCCCGCCAGCCCCCTTGCCTCTTAGCGCCCCTCTAATGCATCCCCCCTCAGGGGGCAGTACCACCCACTTTGGGAACCACTGCTCTAGATAATGTAACACATAGTAAGATATGTTAGAAGTTGTAGTTTAGACATATGCAGAAAATCACCAATTTCCAATCCTTGCTTGTTGTTTGTCTTATTATCTTTCACTAATTTGACACATTTAACCCAATGGCAATCTAAAAGTGTTTTACTCTAAGAAATGGATTAAACTAAATAACTTTCTTCAGCTGACTTTTAATCCATATGATGAAATACTGCAAACCATTTCGTGCTTTATAAATATTCCAAATATCTTAAATTAACAATTAGGTAACAGGTTATCTAAAGAAAAATTATCTTAAATTATAAAACAATATAAGAAAATGTAACAAGTACAAGATATATTACAGTATAAAAACTTATTACATGCAAGAATGAGATGCAATTAGGGTTAGGATCTCATACAATTCTTTCATTGTTCATAGGAATTATTTTAAATATTTTGCAGAAAGAAGCAGTTGTATAGTTGAAAATAAACCTATAATACTAAATACATTTCATTAATACAAATTCATTGCACAGCTTATCTTCTGCTGAGTAATCAATGTCTTTTAAATTAATAACGGTGGCATTTATAATCTAGTTTGTGGTCATCTACTAGAATGGGATCTGTAGCTTGTTACTTTAACCCCAACTTAACCCTAGACTCTGAGAAGCATGCTTTCAGAGAATGATAAAAAAAAAATCTAATAATGTTTTTTAGTGATGATGCAATGTGATTGATTGGAAAGGTCTCAGTAAATCACATTTCTAGTGCCCTTACTGTTATGTTATTTGACACAACATTTTGACTTTGAAATTAGTTTTAGCAATCGAAAAATATGATGCTTTCATGAAATAGTACATTGTTTCATTTTTTTCCTTATAATCAAACCAATTAGGATTAAATTAAAATGCATCTTATTTTAGGATGGATTTTAATTTACCGTTACTTTAAAATTTTAAAAATCCCCCCCCCCCCACACACACACATTTGCAAACATTTTTCCAGAAAAAGAAAAAAAAATGCAATATTGTTATTCTGGAGAAAGGCATTAAATGCAACCATATATAGTAAAGAATTTACTGTGCTTATTTTGTGTACTTGTGAGCATATTAATTCTTTTTCAAAGGCTTGTAGAAAATAAGTTTGCCAGGTTATTCCTTGTTATAATCTCCAAGACAAACTATATTTTTATCAGTTTACTTATTTATTTATTTTATATTTAGATTCTGCCCATCTCACTGTTGCAGCAACTAGGGGCAGCTTACCGATGCTTAAAAGATAATACAAATGGTTAAAACAATTAAAATGGTTAGATAAAAATCTAAAAACCCAAGAGAACAGGTGACATGGAACTGGGGATCTTCAGCCAACCCCAGCATAGCACATGCTTATTGATGCTCCAGGCCAACCAGAAGAGTCATGTTTTAATGCTCTTCAGGAAGGCTAGGGGGTGAGGTCCAACCTCACCTCCAAAGGGGCAAGGGGCCACAGAAGAAAATAGTTTTTTTTCCTGGCCCTGCAAGTTTATATTTGTATATGCTACAGACAAATTGAGCATCACAAATAATTTCATCCCTTCCTTTCATATGGTTATTCCGTAGAATTATCATAAAGGTATTTCAAATCATCACCTCACACATTTGTGAAGGCCTACACTGATGAACAGTACTTATAGTGTTTTATATATTATACAATTTGTGCATGCCAAAACATAGCGTTTAGTTTTTGTCTGTTTGCAACAGCAACTGATTTTGCATAGCATTGCTAACTTTAGATGCATCTGTACATACTTCTAAAAAAAGCCCCAGCTCTAAGAATATTCATTGGTATCCAGTTAAGTATGTATACAATTCCTGGATTGCTTCCATTTTCACTTACTGACTTGATGTATTTATCAAAAGTACGAGAAGCACAAAACTATTCCTGCTGGATCATACCAACAGTTCATTTTCCCCCAACTATGCCAATAATGACTTTAGGAAGCTTATAAAGATGGACAGGAGAACGACTGCTATATTTTACTGTTGCTCTTAAGTGATACCTCAGATGTGTTACTTTGTGCTTCAAGAAACAGAATAGAGTTATAAAGCCCAGTATCCATAATTCAAATTAAAACGTGTTTTTAGCAACTTTGCTTAATTATGTATTGCACAGTGTTGCAGGAAAAACAGCTTCCTCTTGCAAAAAGTTCAAAATTTTACAACTCAAGCTTCACCAAATTATTTCCCTAATAAAAAAGAGCCCTAAACAAAAACAAAAAAAGGATAAGGTTATGTCTGACTGAATTGCATATACATTAGCTGACTAGATATAGCTTAACATATATGTTTTAGCAGATTATATTTACGGTTTTGTGTACATTTGAGTGACTTGGATGTTTCTAATCTTGGATGCTACTCCTATGTCTCCTGACTCAACCGGTTCCAACTAGTGTTGTAGTTTAGGTAGGTCTGTATTCATGGTGCTACTTCTGCAACTTTAGGCAATGTGGACATGCTGGGTTCAGGGAGTTCATGCCTCTTAATTCAGACTTTCCTTTTAAATGTATGTTTATCTAATAGAAGAAAATATCTGTACTCAAGATTGAATCCTGTGGGATCCTTGCTATTCTCTGAGCTTGGCTGTTTTCTTGCAGATGTTTCATTACCAAATTTATCGATCCACTTATCCTTGAATTAGGGAAATCTTCAGGGTCTCCCATTGTGACCACCTATCTTCCCTCTACTGCCTGTATCAAATCACCCATACTTGTATGTTTATCAAGTTAAACAAAGAATTGTTCAACATTCCATTTTATTTTAATAACAAATGTTGCAAAGGTACATTTAGTGCATGAGCAGAAAATCACATCTGTAGCTGTTGTATATTGTGAACTTACCACACTGAAGTTTCTGCCTATCTTTGGGACTGTCACCAACATCTTTGGAGACAATGCTGAATTTAGGTTTATTCCTTGAGCTGTAATTGTACTTCCACCGCTGATGAAATAAAGACATTGAAATAATATTATAAATATTACTCCAGAAAACTGATTGGTGTTTTAATTTAATAAGCATGCACGTATAGTTGCAGTTACAGGATGAAATTAATTTTGCAAAAAAATCATTATAACACCTGAACCTTTCTTTCTTTCCCTTTTTTGAGAGTTTTTCTAATTCTCCTATAAAAAAAAATTAAATGGCTCAATATGTAATTATTTTTATAAGCTGGAAAATGTGCACATGAAACAAAGACTAGCAGTTTAACAGAATTTAAAGATCCTGCAGTTTGTTGACCAAAGTGTAATAAGCAGAGTGGCACAGAAGAAATATGAAACTATGTTTCATTTCAAAGAGCAAATAGAATTCTATTTTCAGCAACAAATAGAATTCTTACATCAAGAATTCTAAGCTAATACTATTCTTCTCTCACGAGGAGAGCTGTATAATGTTCCAAGCTGTATAAATCAGTAAGCATTAAATTTACTATTTTTGGACAATTTTGTGATAATGCAATAACAATTTCAGAGGATGCTTCTGGAATACTATAGCACTACCATACACTGGTATTTTGGGAGGACAATCTAGAAAGAATTTAAATGTTCAAGATGTCAACTGTTGTTCTAAAAGATACTGGAGCAATCTCTAAGCATTTTTTCCTTCTTTCAATCCTCAATCTTCTTTTTTTCTCTGAGCCTTTCTTCATTTGTGCTTAACTGAAGCAGAAAGATACTCCACCAGCAACTGTTTCTATGACATTCATATGAGCAAGTTTGGTTTAGTGGTTAAGGTAGTGGCCTAGAACCAAGAGTGTGAGAACTCTTACGGCATTTCCGGATCCCTTCATAAATAGATTACTGCGTTCCTGTCAAACAGACAACAAATAGTAAAAATAGGGAGCGCTTTATCAAACCCTGCTCCAGTTAACAGCGGTGTCCCCCAAGGCAGTGTTTTAGGACCCACACTCTTTATACTCTATATAAATGACCTTTCAATCACCTTATAACCAACTGCGTCCTCTTTGCGGATGACATAAAACTATTCAACACCACCGACAATGCTACTGTCCTTCAAAGTGACCTTGATTATGTGTCTGAATGGTCAAACAATTGGCAACTCCAAATCTCGAACAACAAATGCTCTGTCCTACACATTGGTTAAAAAAAATCAGTGCACCAAATACAAACTAGGCGGATATGACCTCGTTGATGATCCTAACTCTGTCAAGGATCTTGGAGTTCTCATATCAAATGACCTAAGAGCCAGAGCTCACTGTAACAGCATTGCTAAAAAGGCATTAAGAGTTGTAAATCTAATCTTACGAAGCTTCTCCTCTGGAAATATTGAATTGCTAACTAGAGCATACAAAATTTTTGCTAGACCAATACTCGAATACAGCTCCAGTCTTGAATCTGCACTGTATATCAGACATTAATACAATTGAGCGAGTCCAGAAGTATTTCACGAGAAGAGTACTACACTGCTCTGCTTGCAACAAAATACCCTATATCACCAGGCTTGAGATTTTGGGCTCGGACAACCTTGAACTTCACCACCTACGGTTAGACTTAAGCGTAGCACACAAAATTATCTGCTACAATGTCCTACCAGTCAATGACTACTTCAGCTTCAACTGCAACAATACAAGAGCACACAACAGATACAAACTCAATGTAAACTGCTTCAAACTCGATTGCAGAAAGTACGACTTCAGCAACAGAGTGGTCAATGCCTGGAATGCACTACTTGACTCTGTTGTTACATCCTCTAACCCCCACTTCTTTCACCTCAAACTATCCACTATTGACCTCACCCCATTCCTAAGAGGTCTGTAAGGGGCGTGCATAAGTGCACCATCGTGCCTACCGTCCATGCCCTATTGTCCCCATTTATTCGTACCTATTTCCTGTATTCTTACTCATGTTTATACTTATACTTATTATCTTGTAAGTAATTGACAAATAAATAAAATAAATAAAAGGTGACTTGATCCAGGTGATAGAGGGAGGATAGGTGGCCACAATGGAAACTATGCATATTTCCCTAATTCAAGGATGAGTGGATGGGTAACGCTTCAACCAGCAGTGGGAAAAGTCCCCATTTCTATTCACCATTCCACTGGTCCTTGCTCAGTCTTCCAGCTGACTACTTTTTCATGTGTCTGTTCTTTTCTTCTATTTGTTTCTTCCTCTGTTATCCTAAACAATTCCTTGCCTTGTCTTTCCACTCTTGTCATCCTTCCTCTACTGTATCCAGCCAATGTGTCTTTGCCAACCCCATATATTTCCCCACTTTTTCTAACACTCTTTTCATTGCCAATCACATTCTCCAATCCAACTGTCAAGATTGACTTGCAAGGTACCACTTTTACTCTTGGAAATAAAAATATCCCAAGGGTTTCTTTTGCTGTGCATGCCAACGGGACAGTTAAATCATCTTTCCTTTCTACTCCACCCACAATATAGAAGCCAAACTTTTTTTCATTCTAGGATCAAAGTCTTGTCACTCAGTCAGAATCCAGACTTCCTTTTGATTGACATGTTGATCACTACTATGGTTCTGACCAATAAAACTATATTGTACATAGAATAGGCACCAATGGAAAGAGATATGGGTGGAACATACTAAGGATTATGAATATATATCTACAGTATATATGACAAGTTGTGTGTGCACACACAGGATTGTGGTTTGTGTGCATAAACATTTTGAATTTTAATGAGGGAGACCAACGTTCAATTTTTATCATTAAAACATCTTAAACCTACATATTGTAAAAAACATACAAACCTATTCCATTCTTGTAAAAATACATTTTTTTTTACATTATTCTACCTGAGAAATTTTCATTAAGCTCCTATTAATGCTTAGAAAAAAAGACTGGATAGTGAGGCAGCCCAAGTTGGCAAAATGACGCAAAAGCAATCTACCCTCACACCTTGGAAAGTGGTGGCTACCATCTAGGTTTTTTTAACCTTTTACCCTTGGAACTGTGGATGTCCCTAAAAGAGGCCTAAATATCATAATGTGAGTGGAAATATCTTGCTAATACAAATTTTGGAAAAAGGCATTTCCTTCTGTGTAATTAATAACAGAACCTTTAAGCATGACTGAAGAATAAAGATTAGTTTTGCAATTTATTTTGTAGAATTTTACTATCATTTTTTCCATTATTACTCATATATCAATGTTAAATTTTCACTCACCTAAGGAAAGATTTTACTGGATAAATTTTAGAAACAACAGGGTCTTCTCTGTAGGTAAAATGACCTGCTGAACGACTGGCTGAATCAATTTTCATTTCAACAAGGCATTCCAATGTTTCTCTTTGAGAAGGACTGTAACATTCTATGGTATTGGCAGTCACACTGTAAGAAAAAAATTAAAGAATTAAGATAATTCTTACTATAATCAAGTTCACATTCTCAAAAAAACAGTCTGAATCAGTATGAAATGTTACTCATTATGAAAATCCTCAAGACCTGTGATTAAACTGTAATTTCTAGTTCAAATATAATAGAACTGTCCATTTATTTTTAGCATTTGAAAAAAATAATATAGAGATACATTAAAGTAAAAAACTTCAGTTTTCATTCCTATGGATTTATTATGCAAACACTGATACATCTAAAGCAGATACCTGCAGTTCATAATACTGCCAATTACACTGCATCAGCATACAAACTAGAAACTAAAGTACATAAAAGCTGCGAGGCTATGGAGTCAGAAATGCTAAAAAAATTAAAACTGAATTCAGAAATCTCAGTTGTCTAGTTACTAAAATCAACTAAAATTTTAACATTTTCTATTACTACATTAACATGATAAAGAAATGAATCAGGGGTGGGATTCAGTTTTTTTAAACAACTGGTTCTGTGGGCATGGCTTAGTTGGTGGGTGTGGCTTGGTGGTCATGTGACTGGGTGGGCATGGCCAACTCAACATCACTCATGTCAAGAGGCGCTTCTCCTCGCCTGGCCTCTCATGACAGTGGGATGCTGCAATGGTCATAAGTGTGAAAAATGGTCATAAGTCACTTTTTTCAGTGCCATTGTAACTTTGAATGGTCACTAAATGAACTGTTGTAAATCAAGGATTACCTGTATAAAAATACAAAAAGCTTCTTTGCTTGCAAAAAGCTGCCCTAAATACCAATCATTAGATTAAAAATACCTGCAAGCCGGAGTTACAAATCAGGCAGGGTGCCAGAGCACCTTGAGGAAGGAAAAATATTTAAAATGCAGTGATAACTATCAAGCAGCCAACTCTTGCTCATAAAGTGAAACCCTTTAGCAGAGAGGTCATTTAAGCTCTCCAGAAAAAGCACACCCAGGAAAAGCAATCCGTAGATCCATTTGCACCACTTAAAGATACCAGCTGGTCTCACTCACCTCACAAGCTATCCTAAGGAAATCATCCAGATTTAAGGAAAGGTCACATGCCCCCCAGAAAGGCAGTAAAAAAATCAGTGCCAAGCTTGCATCCTGCCTCTTGGAAGTATACCCCCAAAGGACAGTGCCAGATAGTACTAAAGCAGTGAGGAAGACCCCCTCCACAGATAGAAAAAGAAACCATGAGGCAGGAAAAAATTCAAACACAATACAAATAATTAAATCACAACAGTAGCTGTTGTTTGTTGAAGCTGAATAGGGAAAATTATCCCATCAATAAACACAGGATCAAACTTCACCAAGCACAGAATTAACCTTCACCAAAAACCAGTTCTACACCAAAACTCAGAAAGGGTATGCAAACTCACGTTTGAATGTCAATCTTTCTAGCTAGCCAAGAAGCCTTGCTGAATGCCACTCATCTTGGTTCCCTGTCACTAAAAGCTTTGCTTCATTATTCAATTATTTCTTCAAAGTGCTGATTGTCAAGGGAAGTATTTCCTCCCAACAGCAGTGTAAAAATCTTAACCTTCCCTTTAAGAAAGTCAAGCCTCAGAAGCTCTGGAGACAGGAAGTCTAGGCGTACTGTCAAGAATGTAACAAGGGTGAAAAAAAAAACAAAAGGAGATTGCTTCTAACTACCAGTTCTCCAAACTGGTAGTTAACAAGGGGTTCTATAGAACCGGACAGAATCGGTAGAATCCCACCCCTGAAATGAATCCAATATGGAAAGGCTGGAAAACCCAGATACAAAGCAGGAGATATAAGAAACATACCCAAACCTATAAAGGACTCAAATGCCTATACACTCATGCTCAAAGTTTAAGGAACAAACAGAATGAACTTGAAGTACTAGTGCATGAAAGTAAATATGATATAGCTACCATTAGTGAAACATGGTGGGATGAAACTTATGACTGGAATATACAGGTAGTCCCCAACTTACAACCACAATTGAGCCCAAAATTTATGTTGCTAAATGAAACATTTGTTAAGTGAGTTTTACTATCTTTCTTGCCACAGTTGTTAAGTGAATCACTGTAGTTGTTAAATTAGTCAAACTGTTGTTCAATGAATTTAACTTCCCCATTGACTTTGCTTGTCAGAAGGTCACAAAAGGGGATTAAATGACCCTGAGACACTGTAACTGTCATAAATATGAATCAATTGCCAAGTGTCTACATTTTGATCACATGGCCATGGGGATGCTACATCGGTTGTAAGTATGAAAACTGTTCATAAGTCACTTTTTTCAGTGTCATTGTAACTTTGAACAGTCACTAAATGAACTGTTGTAAGTTGATGACTACTTGTCCTGATGGAAGGATACAAACTATTCAAAAGAAACAGACCTAACAAAAGAGGAGGTGGAGTTGCATTATATATAAAAGATCACTACAACTCTACAGAAATCCAGAAAACAAAGGATGAAAACCTCCTAGAATCCATATGGATAACCCTTTTGATTAACATGTTGATCACTACTGTTGCTCTGACCAATAAAATTATTTAAATTGTACATAGAACAGGCAATATAAAAGGAATGTTATGTTATAGGCATATACTACAGCCCACCCAACCAAGCAGAAGGAATAGATGAACTTTTACTAAACAATTATCAAATGTATGTAGGAAATATACCACAGTAGCAATGGGAAACTTTAACTACCCTGATATCAATTGGTAGACAAATTCTGCATCAAGTGGGATATGAAACAAATTCCTAATCAATTTAGTTGACAACTTTGTCATTCAAAAGGTAGAGGAGGGAACAGAGGAAAAGCTATACTGGACCTAATTCTTACTAATAGAGAAGGGATAGATGGAGTTGAAGTTGTTGGAACTTTGGGTGAAAGTAACCACATCATACTGGAATTCAAGATAATGCAAGCACAAGCAATAGAACTTAATCCATCCAGTGTCTTAAACTTCAAAAGAGCTGATTTTAACAAACTCAGAAAAAGCCTAAGAAAAATTCCATGGATGAAAATCCTAAAGGGGAAAACAACTCAAGAAGCATGGGAAACATTAAAAAATATTATCATAAAAGCCCAATCCAACACAATACCACTGAAAAAGAAAAACAAAAAAATCCAAGGAGAAATCAGTATGGTTGCACAAAGATGTATCTGATAAACTGAAAGACAAAAAGGACAAGCACAAAAAATGGAAAGAGGGATACATAACTAAGGCAGAGTATCAGCAGATAGCCCATATCTGCAAAGATGAAACCAGGAACGCAAAGACTCGGAATGAACAACACAAGTCAAAGATAATTTAAAAAAGTTTCTTTCAACATATAAATGACAATAAAAATATCAAGGAAACAGTAGGTCCACTTAAGGGAGAAGATGGCAAGAAGTGACAGGCAGCAGAGAGAAAGCAGAACTGTTAACTCATTTTTTTGCGTCAGACTTCATGCAAAAAGAAACTAGCCCAATCTATGAAAAACGTAACTATAAAAGACAGACTAGAAATAAAAATTAAAATTAAAATAAGGAAGAAAATGGTTAGAAAATATCTATCTGATCTTGATGAATATAGACCACTGGGATCTGATGGATTACATCCCAGAGTTCTGAAGGAACTAACAAATGTTAACTCAGAACCATTGTACTGTATCTTTCAAAAATCCATCAGGCTTGGCAGTGCATGCTTGGGACCTTTATTGATCAAATATTTGGGGGAAGGATATTTGGAAATTCAAGATTACAGGAGAAACTGTATGTTTGAAGACCCAATGATTTTAAACGCACTTTTAATGTATATTAAAAAGGGCAAAGATATGTAATTGCACAGTTTGGTCCACCATCTTGATCTTTATATACCAACATATGGAGGTGGTTGGCAGAAATCATGTTTCTGGGTGTTCAGCTAAAGAGTAAGCTAGCTTGGTCACTCAACAGGGAGACACTGGTGAAGCAAGCACAGCAGCACCTGCATTTTTTTGCATCACATGAAAAAAAGTGTATCTTCCTTTCCCTGTCCTTATCACTTTCCATAGCGGGATGATTGAGAGCACCCTATCATATTGCATTACTGCTTTGGACAGGAAGGGGATGAGAATGGTGAGGATGGCAGAAAAGATTATTGGTAGTTCACTTCCTTCCATCCAGGATATAACATATAAGGGATGCTTGAACAGAGTCTGCAGTATTGTCTGGAACACTATACATCCTCTTCATGACCTGTTTTCCTTGTTACCTTCTGGGAGGAGGCTTCATGGTCTCTGAAGCAGAACATCTAGATTCAGATACAATTTGTTCCACAGTTTTGTGAAACTCTCAAGTTTCGTCTTTCTGCTATGTATTCAAAGTGGACAAAGATATCAGTGGACCACCACAGCCAGGCCTCCCACACCCCAATACCTGTTGCACTAGTGCCAAACTCTTTCTGAGGCTGCTTGCAGCCAGGATGCCTTATGTTGCATTGCGCTGGTGCGGCTGCTTGCAGCAGGATGTTGCGTGCTTTGTCACGCTGGTGCCGCCATTTGCGGCAAGGCGCCACATGTACTGCTGCCGTCACTTGCACACACAATAGCACAATCTGTGATGTGTCCTCCTATATAGTTTTCCCCAAAATACAACCTACCTGTAAACAATCCCTATCCCCATTTTCATGGCTGCACCTAATAGAAACCCTACCTAAAAATAAGCTCCAGTTAAGCCCCACCTACTGTCTGGTTGTACGAGGGTAGGACAAGACGCATGAGTAAAAATCCAGTAAAAATCAAGCTATGGAGGTAAGAGGAATGGGGTGGATCTGCCCCAAGCACCCTAGTCACTTACCTTACAACTGCTGCAACCAGGCCTCCCATGCCCTGACACCCGTCACGTCGTTGTCAGACTTCTGCAGCCACTTGTGGACGGATGCTACATGGAGCATTGCACCACTGCTGCTCCTAGCTTGTTGCATCTGTGCCATCTTTTGTGTGCACAATGATGTGATGCGCAATGCAGCCTCTTGCCACAAGCGGCAGCACCAGCATGACAAGCCACGCAGTGTCTGGCTGCGAATGGCCATAGAATGAGTCGGACAACAGCGTGCCAGGTATCGAGGTGTGAGAGGCCTGGATGCAGTGGTCCTAAGGTAAGTGGGTAAAACATGCCCCAAAACATGCCCCTGGCGCATATTTTGGGGACCAAAAGAAAATAGGACCAGGTCTTATTTTCGGGGAAGCACAGTGTGTGTGTGTGTGTGTGTATGTATATAGCATGTGTATATTATGTGTATTAGATATGTGTATGGGTAAATATATACTTTCTTTTTACAGCAGTCAACAGAAATTCATTTTTAATCTGTACCAATGTGCTCACAATAACAAACGATAATAAAAGTTATCTTAATCTTTTAAAAAATATTAATCTTAGCATCTTTGCAGTATTCAGATTTCTGTCATCCACATTTAAATTTGTGTCTGTAACTTGTTAATTTTACTCTGGGAAAGATTATTGTTTAAGAAGATGTAAAGAAAAAATGATATGGTTAACACTTTAACATTGCCTTCACAGTCAAAAAATGAATAATTTATAATAGTTTAGCTTCAATACCATCTAATATAAAGTGTCTGCCCACTTGTTATAAAATCCAGAAGAAAATAGGAAAGGTGAAAAGAAGTTTGGTGATAACTGCCAATTTATTATTCAAGATGTGTAATATAATAAACATAGTTTTTTGTTTTCCTTCTCGTTTAATTCCATGGAAGAATCAGATTACAAAAGAAATTGGAAACCCTTTCTTCCATAGTTTTATATGGAAATGTGTAGTCCAGCATATCATGTAGGCATAAGATTTTTTTTGTGTGTGTGTGTGCTTTGCTGTAGGACAGAAAGAAACAACTGCTGAAACTGAAGAGGACGGGTCCTGCTGCTAGAGTTCCACAAAGAAGTGATCAGGCAGAGTCATGTAACCCCTTGTTAAAATCCAATTTTAACCGTTGTTTAGTGTACTTTACTTTTAAAGCACTGGGTGGGTTGTAGATTAGAGGGAAGTCGTAAAAAAGGAGATCCTCTCTCCCATCTTCTCCCTGCATTTCAATTTAACCTCCTTGAATGTTAAAAGGACATTTCTTCCCTTCTCCCTTCTTTCCTGTTTGGTTATTTGGGAAAAATCAATCTTTCCAATTTGGTGTTAGAATGACAGCATTGCTTTGTTAGTTGCTAAGCCCCACACAGATTATAACAGACCCTTTCATTTTAAATCAAGGCTTGGCTTTATAGTTTCTGCACTGCACCTCAGTTTAGGAATAGCTAGCCATATTGGCCTTGCTCTTACAAAAGCTTCACTGGAAAATTCCATGACTGGGAAAGTTTGAACAGACAGAGGGAGAGAGGGATAAAATATGTAGTCAAGAGGGTGAGAGCTATAAGGAGTCTAGACTGCTTGAAGTTTCCCACCAAAGCGGCAGCAGAAGTTTCATCAGTTTGGCAATATGGATGAAGATGAAGCAGGACTGTGTTTTTAGGAAGAAGCTGTTCTCCCACAAAAAGTCATAGTGGTGGTAAAGATACTGAACGCTTACCTAGTCAACCATTCTATTATGTTATGAACCCATAACATAAAGGTTAGGAGGTGAGATGTTTCTCTTTCCTGATGGGTGATGATGACCCAGAAAAGCCAGCAACTCATTCACCATCTCTAAAGCAAATATACTGTAACCTCAAGAACAGTGTTGAGTAGGACTACTTCCAATCTGACCCCATAGATCTAGGTTAAAATGCCTAAGTAGATAAGCAGACTAGGACTGACTTTTTTTTTTTTTTTTGATGCAGAGAAACCTAATGTCAGCCTTCAAGATTTTCTCCCTTTGCTTTGCATCTTTCGGCTGTCATAAGTAACGGGGGGAGGAGGGGGGATAAGTATGGGAAGCGAGCTGGAGGTGTTACAAACTGAATTGTATAAACTGGGGGGGGGAATACATTCCTGCTTAGGTTAGGTTTCTATTCCTTGCTTTCTCTTCTATGCTATGTACAGCTGCAAACCTTTATCAAAATATGCCAAGGTCAACAGACAGAAGCCTCATCACCACCTGGAGATGTCCACATGATGATATTCACAAGTTTTAATTGGAAGAACCATTTGAACTATTGGGGGTGGGAACATTGCCATACTTTGTATATGTGATTTACGTGCCCATTTTCTCAGATTCAGAATTCTTTTGTTGCTACCACTTGATTTCCGATAAAAGATATCTTTTCTCTAATTAAAAGAGTCTAAGTATTTCTTTCTTGGATTTTGAATGGAGCACCAGCTGACACCTAGACCCATTTAGACACCATGCAACTGTCCTTTGCACTGTTGACAGCAAAAGGCAAATTTGCTGTGTGTGCTAGCAGCAAAGAATCTGCTCTAAAGTACAGCAGAACTCTTTATGGCACATGAAGCAATCCTAGGTGGGAAAATTGCAAAGTAATTAAAATAATCAAGTTATTGCACAAATTATGGCTTTGAACTTCTAGCCCTTCAGCACAGTGGCAGATGAAGGTTTTCAGCATTTTGTCCTTGTTTGTCCTTGATTAAGGAATTTTTCAGCAAGAAGGTGGTACTCCTTCTGGAAAATCATCTACCCAGGGGAAAAGTTCATTTGAGATATCTGGTTTAGTTTGCGTAGAGCCTGCTTTCTAACCGTTTCTTCAACAAAAATTAATACCATCATTACAGGCACAGTTAATTACCCCAACCTTTTTGGAAATAGGTTTTGATTATTGGGTATTGACTGTGATGTGGTCTATCCTGATTTTTGATCCCTCATCTGAGGCTCAAGTGACTCCTTGACCAGGGTGCAATCCCAATTCAACCCCAAGATGTTTATAGCATTTCTAATGCTTTGCCAAGGAGAAGAAAAATATCTTTTGTTACTTTAGACAGTACCATAAATAGGAGCATTTTGCATTCCCTGAAGAAGTCAGAAAAAGCCAGAAAACATATACATCTGATTAAGGGCAGTCAAATTTCAGTTCTAATTAGATCTCGCAATACTATATCTATGCCTCCACGCTTACTATACTTACTATATCTATGCCTCCACAGTATATTATAGTAGCCAAATTTGTATACATAGGTTTATGCTCTACATTTTACACTCTAAGCCTGTGATGGCGAACCTATGGCACGTGTACCACAAATGGCACACAGAGCCATTTTGCTGGCACGCGAGCTTCAGGCAAACTTTATTTTATTTATTTATTTGATTTGTCAATTGTTTACAAGATAATAAGTACAAGTGTATACATAGTTGTGAATACATGAAATGGGTACATATAAGAAAAATAAAAGAATAAGAGAAACAATAGGACAGGGACGGTAGGCACGTTGGTGCGCTTATGCACGCCCCCTACAGACCTCTTAGGAAAGGGGTGAGGTCAATAGTAGACAGTCTAAGGTTAAAGTTTTTGGGGTTTGGGGAAGAGACTACAGAGTCGGGTAGAGTATTCCAGACATTGACCACTCTATTGCTGAAGTCGTATTTCCTGCAATCAAGTTTGGTGCGGTTTACTTTGAGTTTGTATCTGTTGTGTGCTCTTGTGTTGTTATGGTTAAAGCTGAAGTATTCATTGACAGGTAGGACATTGCAATGTATGATTTTATATACCATGCTTAAGTCGGACCGAAGACGGCGTAATTCGAGGTTTTCTAGTTTTAGAATTTCGAGTCTGGTGGCGTAAGGTATTCTATAACGGGTAGAAGAGTGGAGAACTCTTCTTGTGAAATACTTCTGGACTTTCTCAATTGTGTTAATATCACATACGTGATAAGGATTCCAGACTGATGAACTGTATTCGAGTATTGGTCTAGCAAATGTTTTGTATGCTCTGGTTAGTAGTGAGATATTACCAGAGAAAAAGCAACGTAGGATTAGGTTAACAACTCTTAATGCCTTTTTGGCTATGTAGTTGCAGTGAGCTCTAGCACTTAGATCATTAGAGGTGAGTATTCCCAGGTCCTTTACAGAGCTTGGGTCATCACATGCGTGTGCCTCACAGCTGATTTTTTTGGTTGGTTTGAGGCCTTTTTCGGTCTCCCAGGGGCTGGGAAAAAGCCTCTGCAAGGTTTTTCAGTCTGATAGGCCCATTTTGTCACTTCCTGTAATACCAGAAGTGACAAAACGGGCCTATAATTCATCCTGAAAAGCCTTGCAGAGGCTTTTTCCAAGCCTTTGGGAGGCCAAAAAAAGGCCTCAAACCAGCCAAAAAAATCATCTGTGAGGCCACGGGCAGGGAAGGGGGTGGGGGGGGGATTGTGCGCACATGCACAGGGGGCATGGGGACGGGGCGCATATTGCATTCTGGGTGCTGACGCATGAGTGCGTGCATGCTAATTCGCACGCAGTTTTTGGCACAGGAGCCCAAAAAGGTTAGCCACCACTGCTCTAAGCTTTCTCTTCCTCCTTTTCCAAGTCAGCAGCTATTTAGGCTGAGTTAACAGTTGTCTCAAGCTGGGAATCGCTGATTCTTGTCTTGCGAGTTTCATTTCAAAAAGAGATGTTTTGTTCTGAGAATAAAATATATTTCCCATTTGGTTTAGAACTTCAGCTTTACAATTTATTAAAAAAAAAAAAAATCAACCCCATTATACCTGGTTAGGCTGCACTGCTTTTTGCAGATAGAAATTTCTTGCAAATTCCCGCTGTTTAAATAGTTCCCAGTCAATGTCAACAATGTTCTGCCAGATCTTGGACCATAGTTAGGAGAAATCTGCCTTATTCTCGGATCCTGCATATGGAACAAAGTTTCATTTGATACTTAAACCATATATAAACATAGACACATTGAAATAGAGATCAAATAACTATTAAAATGAAATGATGTAATTATAAAATAATAGTCATTTACTTACCACATAAGAAAATGTATTGAAAGAGGTATTAGCTTGTCCATTTGAAACACTGCTTGAAACATTGAAACTTGTGTTCTTTACAGGCCCAAGCTTGCATTCCAATCTTCAATAAAAACAAATATATTATCAATAAAGAATATTTGTAGCTCAGGGTTGATATGAGGGGTCCTTGGTGTCCTTTGAGCTTGTTACCCAAACTAGGTAATAACATCAGTATTAGTAAGAAGTGCAGTTTGTGGTCAGTTTATATTCTAGTGGCTTGCCTGTCAATGTTGGGCGAGGGTCGTCTTAAAGGTTTTTTTGGTTGGGCTATTTGCTGTTGGCTTCTTTGGCAGTTTCTTGATTGGGCTATTGTTTAATTGATTGTTGGTCTGATGTTAACCAAACTCCAAGGTTAACACCAGACCAACAATCAATTAAATAAAACCCCAATCAAGAAACTGCCAAAGAAGCCAACAAAAGAACAACAGCCCAACCAAAGAAACCTCTAAGACCACCCTCACCAACACTGACAGGCAAGCCACTAGAATATAAACTGACAGCAAACTGCATTTCTTACTAGCACTGATTATATTATCTAGTTTGGGTAATGAAACATCTGCAAGAAAACAAGCAAGCTCAGAGAATACCAAGGACCCCTCATAAATAGATTAATCATAACTAAACTAAACAAACAAAACCAGACCTTCATAAATAAACTGCAACATAAACAGCCAATGTGTTTTTTAAAACACTACGAATATGACAAATCAATAAAATAAAAATACCCTTGAACTTACAGGTGGTTCAGGAATAATTGGTGGGCTATATCTCGATGATTGATTGATAAAATCTATCAATATAAATGTATTTATTTGTAATCATCTTTTTAAAAATAAATAATGATAGAGCAGTACAACAATTATTTAAAAAATTTCATTTTAAGAGTTGTAAGAAAAATACCTTCCACTGTAAATACACAAAGAGCACTATATAAAAAAGATAAGGGATTAGATTTCGCCTTGAAAAGTAAATCCTTTCTTAAAATCATCCTTAGATTCAATTATTGCTGTAGAAAAAAAGATGGCTTCTCAACAAGTGACTGTCGCATTCAACAATCTTACAACTTTTAAAGACAGATATGCTTGATGCTCCAACCACATTAATATCCCAAGTTAGTAACTGGGCCTGCATGAAATGTGCATATGATTGTGTATACTAAATTCATGTCATATTGAAGAAAAGCAATGCACTGAATATTTTATTCTGTGTTTTTTCCCGTAAAAATAAAATTAGATTAAAATACAAAATACAAAAAAAACCCAAAAGACAAAAAAGAAACAAAGAACAAAAACCATAAAACAATCAAAACATTAAAAATGTTCATAAAATGTTCATAAAAAACCCCACCATATAAAAACCCCACCAGTATTCTAGTTGAATACTGATTAATACCTTGCTATAACATTAGGTCTCACCTCTTGCAAAATACCTCTTTAAACTACTAAATATATTTGCAAATTTTTGAATTTTGTATTTTAACCTTGTCTAGAACAAAATAAATGCATACATAAAGAACAAGTAACATTTGGGAAGTGACATTTTATGGTCAGTGGTAATAATCATTGAACGAGCAAGAACCTTAACCTGTATTTTTCTATCAACATGGATAATATGATAGCCACTAAAACTGAAATATTTTTACTATATTCATACAAATGGAGAGCCAGTTCAATGTAGTGGTTAAAGAATTAGCCTAGACACTGGGAGACTGTGAGGTCTAGTCCTGCCTAATAGGAAGAGAGATGAGTGAGTTTGGACAAATCACTCTCGCTCCATCCTAGGAAGAAGGCAATGACAAACCATTTCAGAAAAAACAACAACTGCCAAGTTGTTAGTCCAGGTTAGTCCAGGTAGTCACCAGGAATCAACACTGACTCAAAGGCACCCTTGTCCCAATAACATATGAATATTCATATGTTATTTTTCTGAATTAAACCCATTCAAACAAGGGAGAAAGAAAAAGAAACAATACATTAAAATACCATTAAGCCAAAATAATTGTATATGATGTCATGCAAGACATTGAAATTGATTATTTTTGCCATACATCATAATATCTAAAGAGAGAGAAAAAAACCCTCATATCTTACTTGTTTTTGTCACTAGCCCTGCCATCCACAATGCATCGCTGTTCCCCGACAAAGACTGATATTTTTTTAAAGCTGGGCTTATTATTTTTACTAAATCCAAAATCCCACCCGCACAGTGTCAGTCTTGTTGAAGCATCAAAAGCAGCACTTTTTGGAATAATCTAAAAGGGGGAAAAGAATAATAAATTTATTATTTCTAATGGGCTATGAAGGTGCTTTTTAAGAAAAGAAACAATACTGGCAGAAAATAATTTCTTCTATTGAAGATACCCCCCACTTTAACTTAATTGTTCCTCAGTTTTCATTTATCACTGTATGAGCTTCCTTAGATTTTAGCAATAAATAATCCTGCCACTGCTAGAAAGCTCTGAGTTATTGTGTTTAGGGGCACTGAACAAGCTCTGCATTGTAATAGTTTTTTTAATACCCTTTGGTTTGCTTTTTATGTCTTTCTTGTGGTATGTAAAAGAACACAATGCACTTATTTTATTAAAAGCATGATACTGAATAGAAGAATATCAAACTGATGAAGCAACTTATTTCATCAACCTGAAGGAAAGCTGCAATGTCTTCACAGCAATGACAGCTTCAAAGGTGTATAAATCAAACACTTGTCTTGGGAGCTAAGAATTAACGTGGCTTTTACAATGCTGTCACTGAAAATGCCTATCCGTTGGTTACTTCTAAATTTCAAGTTAAAAATAAACTACATTCTAGGAATGCAGAGACAATCTCAAAAGGAAATGCTCTTCCTCCCCCTTCCCACTCTAACCAACTTCTGTATATTGTACAATTGCAACAATGGTGGGAAAATGCATGAATAGCAGAGAAATTGTATAAATTTCAGTGGCGGGCATTTGGCAAGACACTATCAATAAAACATTGACAATGCTGTAGAGGTTACACAAGACATGCAATCTAACTTTACAAACATTCAAGCCTGGTCAGAGAACAAAAGACTTTTTGATACTTGTGATAAAAGTGTTGTAGAGTGTTTTATGTTACAATTTTACTCCTAGTAAGTAGTACAATTGTGTCTTTTATCATGAACTCTACTTGCCCGGTGGATCTGAAAAGAACATTTCTATAAAAAATGCTCAGGTTACTTGTTCTCTTTGATATCCAGTAACATTGGCACCCTAAAAAAAAAAACACTTGTATCTACACAATGTACTTAGCTTAATTATGTAAGAATATAAAAAGGAAAAATAGTTCTTCTGAACATGTAAACACTGATTAAACCATATGATATTGAAATAATTGCTCCAGGGCAATTATAACCAACCCAATTCCAAGCCCAATCAAATTGCAAATCCCAGAGTCATATTTGCACATACTTATACGTTCCCTCATGTTTTAATTATATAAATGCTGCCAAAGGGAAACTTCTCCCTTAGAATTGGTTAATGTTTCAAACAATATTACAAATGGAACCATGCACAGTTGACGTCTAGGTATTACAACCTGTAATGCTGCATGTGCTGCATTTTGAGGCTTTGGTGGTAAACCACTTGGAAACAATTACTGTATAATTTAGGATTAGGGGGGAAATAGTAAAACAAATATAAAAACTTCAGAAACATTTTATAATTATTTTACCCTTTCAATTGAGACCTTTTGTCTTTTCAAATATCCCTATCAGGGTTCCGACTGACGGACCCGACCAAGCCAGCACTCAGATCCCTTTAAGAACTGTTTTACTGAGTACATCATTTCGGCATGCATGAAAGCAAAACCAACTCTTATTTCCCGTAGTTTTCATATAATTGAAGAATAGATATTCCCTCCCTCCTTGTCACAGGTCACATTGTCCAATTAGGTGTTCTGGCATCTCCTGGGTAACTCCTTCAAGTTTCTGGACAGCACCTGTTGAAATGACCTTGGTCCCCACAGGATAATTCGTATGGCTGACATTCCAAAACTCTTCCCCTACCCCCCACCCCGGTGTGTTGCAAGCTGAGAAATGAAAAAATGGCTGTGGCAGCATGAGTCCATTTCGAAGTTGACAATCACATAACGACAAAATCAACTGAGCAGATATATATGAGAATGGAAGGAGAAATATTTACAGCTATTTAATTTTTTAAAAAGATATTGGGTGATGGCATAACACATATGCAATATTTTAAATCCTTTTTTGCTAAGAGATTTATGCTTGATTTTGGATCTGCTTGAATCATCTTATTTGGTCATTGCCTGAGATAGAATATTTTATTTCTTCCATGTATTTGGCTACTAAATATTGGATTATGCCTGGCTTTTCTTTTGTTACTATAGACCATGGGACTGTGTGTCTTGGCAAATAACACAAAACGCTGGCCTATGCTCACACAAGGTCATTTGAAAGCTCATCAAATATTGTAATGGCGTTTGGGATACACTTTTATTTAATCTTAGTAGATAATTGCAGCCCATGAACAACACTGAAAAGATATCAGTGATAACAGCTGTTGAAAGATAATGGTTGTATATAAGCAAACTTCGTTTACAATGTGAGGGCCAGGCCCATAACTTAGAAATATAGTTATTTTGCTAGTGAGGACAGCAGTAAATTACTCTAGAAAAGCTGGTTTTTATTTGTTCTCCATGTACATTAAAAAAATCCACAAAAAGGAAAAGGAAAAGAAAGGGAAAGGACAAAAGTAGTAACTTCTGAGCCTTGGGTGGTTATTTTTTCAACCAGTTTCTCTTGCAATACACTTTAAACATGTCAAAATAAATTGCTAGTTCAAGCATGCTGGCTACATTGATTTTATTTGGATTGCTGTGACTGTTGTTTTCCTTGTATTCATTCCCTTTTCCCCAAAAACTTTTTATATCTCAACATCTGATTTCATACTTTTTTCTAAAATAAAATTTCTTATTAAAAGCATCTCTATTTGTCAATATTTAATAGTTTGCATAATTGATATTTCAGAACTGACACAACTTATGTAAAGTTCCTTATTTTGGGTTTGGGGGAAAAAGAACCAAACCATCTTTCTATTTATTTTCCAAGAGCTGAGAAGAGACAAATCAATGGTAGGCAAGTTAAGTTCAATCATTCTACTGTTCAAGTAGGTTTTAGTCAGTTCTATTTAGAGTTAAAAGGGTGGGGTACCAAGCAACTAGAATGCTACAACTAAGAAAGGCATCTGTTACTAACTGAAGAAACTGAAGAAACTTCTTGGATGAGAAGCGAAACGTCTTCAAAGAAAAACCAGAAAGTCAAATTGCCTCTTGAAAAAGCACCTTTGGGACAACCATGACTTGGATGGCTGAGAACCTCCATAAGCATCTTGGCTACTGATTGATCGAATTTGTCCAACTTCACATACAAAAATGGGCAACATTTCTGTTGTTCTTGGTACAATTGCCATTGTGACATTTGCACTAACTCCTCAATCCCAACATTGTTGCTATGCAGTTTTAACTGCTGTGGATTTAAACGAATTTGCCACAATTTACAGAAACCTGTGGAGTTATACTATTTGTCATAGAATCCCTTGCGTTAAGACTAAAAGTTGGAATGGATCTAGATCTGGAGCTGTTATTGCTTGGGTGATTCTGTGATCTGAAATTCAGTTAAACGTTTTCTTGTAATGTAATATTGATAGCGACTCAGACCTTTATAATGACTACGCCATATTCACTTGAACGTCAAAATTATCATTTAATGTATGTTAATTATATTCTTCTTTCCATAAAATATTTTATACATTAAGGATTTTCAGATTTTATTGCAAATACCAGAGGTTAATTTGCATTTCTAACAGTCAAAACAATCCTGTGCTATATTAAAGCTATAGGCCAAATATGAATAATCTTTTATTTTTTAGTAGTATGACTAACTATCATGGTTCAGCAAAGCATAAAATCTGCTTGAGCAGCTATCAGCTGTAAAGATTTAGGAATCCAAATGCATCATTTCTTTCCTTTTAGAAAGAAAACCTCAAAATCTTCCATTTATATGGTACATGCTCTGGGGATATATTATTATTTATCACTGTCATAGAATATTTATTGCATTTTCTAAAATGTATCCAGCACATGAACTCTGGCTTAAAATCAATTGAGTACATTCTAAGATTCTTTTTTTCTCATTTATTAACTTCATACAAAATTACCCCTCAAAAAGCATAAGCACTGTGCCCATTTAACAAATTACCACTTTCTCTTTTTTAAAAAATGACATAAAGCAATAACCCAACCCAGACCTTTGAAATTACTTCATGTAGGTTGGTAATACAGAGATAATATGCTCTCACCATGTCACAAAGAGCCAAACAGGGTAAGCCTGGAACAATTTTATGCTAACTCTGAAGACTCATCAGAGTGTGACATCTCAGCCACACTAAGGGACCTAGTCCTTGCCCTCACAGGAATAAAGGGACTTAATGTAGCTTTAAATATGATTTACATTCATTCAAGTGCCCTTGTATACTACGTGAACTACACAAGAGCCTAATGTAACTATGAATCAGACTTCATAAATTTAAAAGTTATTTAGGGTCTGCCATCTACCCTCATCTAGTTTGTATGGGCTTGCTTAACACGAATATAAAGGCTCCTTTATATTCCTTTCCTTTTTATTTTTTTAATAAAGTTTTATTTGGGTTTTCACACATACAAAATACAAGTAAAACATCTTTTTTGAAAATAGCATGGTCCCGGTTCTTTATACAGACACAAAACTCAATTTCATGCTCCTTTTTGTATTCTATTCCATAGCTTAATACTATTTTACATTTTCTATATAGTTTTTCCCCTCTTTTAATTTTCTCAATTTTATTTTGATTATCTCATCTCAATTCAAATCATTATATTTATACTTTTGTCTGTTCTGTTTCAATTTCATATTATCTTTTCTCATTAAACAAATTTTCTCCTGTAGTTACTAATTGGAGTATGACATCTTTATATCTTTAAATTACATCCATTCAACTCTTATTTAAATTTCAATATATACCTTAAGGTTATGACCTTCAATATAATACATAATACATAACTTCCAATCGAATTCTGCTTGGTACATTCTTATAATACACACTATATTCTTTTTTTAAAAAAAAAAATTGTAAATATATGTAATTATAAACCCTCATTCCATTCCAGTTCAGTTCTATCATTAATAATCATTAAAATCTTAACATCTTTAACATTTCTTTTCAATTAAATATCATACTTCCTTAAAACACATATAATCTCCATAATTAATTTTTCCCTTATTTCTCTTCACATGTTTTATAAATCATTAAATATACCTTTTTTATTACATTTATTTATTGACAAGCATTCCACTGTATTACGATAGCTATTTTATCAGACATTTTAATCATACATTGTTTCATATTTTCTAAAATTATTTCTGCTTCTAATATAACCATACTATCTTATGTATCTTTGCAGAATCCCTTTTTCCATTAAATTTTCACCCCTTATCTCTAAATAGGCCGTTTCTCTATATTTTGTTTCTGTCCTTTATAACTTCTTTTCCTTTCTTTCTTCCCTCTCATCTTCTCCCTCCCCTTTTTACCCCCTTGTCTCTCTACTTCTAATTCTCTCTTCTGCATTTCCCTCTTCTGTTGCTTTCTGATTTTATACTTATTTTTCCCTCTATTTTTTTTTGGAGTTGTTTTTCCCAATCTTAAACTTTCCATTCTCTTTCCCCCTTTCCTCCCCC